AGATGTTGGATGCTGCAGATGTTGGATGCTGCAGATGTTGGATGCTGTCTATCATGGTGCACTAAGATTCAGAACTGGCTGTGATTATCTTACCCACCACTGCACTCAGTATTCACTGGTTAACTGGTCACCATTAACTTCATGCACACTCTCACTGGTACATTTTCATCTTTAAATCACTTCTTGGTCTGCTGCCTTCATACATCTCCTCCTACATGTCTCTGCGTGAGTGCAGCTACAGCGTGCGCTCTCAGGACATCATTACCTGCAGTGTTCCCTCAGTGAGGACTGAACTAGATAAAAGGACCTTCTCCTACTCCGCTCCTGTTTCCTGGAATATCTTGTAAAAAGATCTGAAGCTCTCGACCTTTGACCTCTCTAAGTGGCTTCAAACATCTGCTAAGTTCATGGCAAAAACCAAAGCAGACATGTTCCTGTTTTTAGGTTTTTTTATATATCACTTTACAATGTAGCTGTTTTTGTTTTGTTTTATTTATATATACAATTTTCTTCCATTTATTTTTGCAACTCATATGCTTTATTTTATGATTGTCTACCGTTGTCATCTTTCTTTGTCAAAACCAGGTCTCTCTTGTAAACGAGACCTCGAGGCTCAATGAGACTAACCTGTAGAAATAAAGGTTGAATGAAAATTTGTGAACGCTAAAGTACTGAAGAGTTACAAAGTTCACTGGAACGTGATCTGCAACGCCTCAAATAAAGAACAAGAAACAGTCTGGACCTTTTAGATGAGGTTTTTTAAAGTGACAGGAGCTAAAAATAAAATGCTTCAGACATGTTCTGACATGAAAAGATGTTTTGAATTTTCAAAGCGTGCAAACCTCTCAGTGAGTCAAGCTCAAAATAAAATGATGACCTTGTAAATGAGGAGAACGTGTACTCTTTAAGTCTGATAAGGGAGAGGCATTTTTAGGACACCTTTGAGGCCTTTCCTGGATGATGGATGGCCCTGCAGATAAATCAAGGCCTTATTGAACGCTGCAGAGCTAAAGTGCCTTCCAACAATCAGCAGCAGGTTTTGGAGATTTATTTATTATTTTTCCAAATCGTCCTGTTACTTCTCCCCCATCTGCTATCTCTTATTTCATCTGTCCTTGAAGCAAATGACAGACCTGTTATCTTCAGCCAAACTTAAAAGTTTGAAACTTTTTTAAACACCATTTATGCCTCTTGTAAGACTTTATATTCCGTTAAGGTGCAGAGTTTATTTTCAAAGCTAAAATTTCAACTCAAACTTTTACTCCAGAAACGAGAATTTACATCCTCTTTGAAAAAGTCAGTCCTGGAGAAAACATGCTCCTTTGTAAGAAAAGGCAAACCCCGTTTTGTCCCAGAAATGGTCTTTAAAGCAGCCGACTCCCAGCCAAGGCTCCACCTTGACACTTTCATCAGTTTGGTTTTAGGAAAAGTTCGGAAAATGTTCCTGCACATCTGCTTTTGTTTTAATGACACCATCCTGGACAACCAATAAATCCTGCTGATGATGGAAATCCACTGCACGTTCCCTGAGGGTTTTTGTTTTTTCTTCCCAAGGCAAATGGGGAAATGATGTTTTGGCTGTCTGTTAGCAAAATATCTCACAAAAAAAGGGAACAATTTTAATGAATTTGTCATTAAGTCTAAAATGGGTCTCTAAGAGAATAACCTGTCTAAATTAAGGTTGATTGAATTAAGCGGGTGTTTGTGGCTGAGTGGTTAGAGCAGTCATCCTTCAATGCAAGAGTTGTGGGTTCAACTCCACCATCAGTCACATGCTGAAGTGTCTCTGGGTAAGACACTGAACCCATCATTGCCTTCGACGTGTGTCCCATCGGTGTATGAATGTGATAAAGCTCTGATTATTCTTTGTAGAGATCTAGTATAGAGCTGTATGAATGGGTAAATGAGGACACAGATTGTTGTAAAGATCTTAGAGTGTCTTGATAAGATAGAGAGGTGATATAAACCAGTATGTACAGTCCATTTACAATTAAGTAATCACTGGATGAACATTTACAACAAACTGACCCTAATTAGGACAATATGGCTACAACATTAAATACAATTTACTAAACTACACTAAACACAATATATTGAATAATGTTTGATGTAGTTGTAACTAAGAGTTTTTCTCAGTACATACGTTGAGTGTCAATAGATTATGTGAGATTGCTCAAAATAAAGCGGTTACTTTCAGTATTTGACCAAAATAGCTTCAGCTGAGTCATTTCTTAACATAAGATGATCTTAGTCCAAAACTCAGGCATGAGAAGAAGTGGACGACATGCATTCTTTAAAAGAAGAGGTTTTTAATTTTAGATGTGTGATTGTTTGCAACTTTACAAACTTCATACATCTTTTTCTCCTACCGAGGCGTGTTGAAGCTTTACTCTGATTCAATCCAATAAAAAATGAGTTTGAAGTTGGAAAGTGAGATTTATAAGGTTTTACAAGTTATGGAATAAAGAGAAAAATATTCAACTTCTATTTCAATTGGTTTTGAATTATCCATCCACCACTGACCACTTCTCAAAATTCAAGGTTCAACTTTCTTTATTATCATTCGCATCACACGTGGTACATGAGGTGGAATAAAATTGTGTACTCAAGGTCCCAGTTACACCAAAAAATAGCAAAAATATAAATTATAAAAAGAAACATTATCCAAGGATCTAAGATTTACGCTGAACGAACAGTAAACGACACACTAAAAGATCTAAGATATATGCTAAACACTAATAATGTAAACACGGTATATTAAACAGCAGCCCGAACATGAGTCTGTAGTGAGCAGAGTAGATGGGTATGAATGAAACATTTCTGAAGCAACAACAAAAGAAGTGTTCAGCTTAATTATTTGTATCATATTTTAAAATGTCCTGGTCCTCATCGTTCTGCTTCTTGTTCCAGAGGATACAGACAGTGAGCGCCATAGATCCTGACGAGCCCCTCGGAGGACATCGCTTTATGTTCAGCCTAGCACCGGAGGCTGCGGGGAAGGCCAACTTCTCTGTCCGGGATAACAAAGGTACGCTGAACATCGTGGTCGACAGATCTTGTTCAAAATCCAAGCAAGTTGTCGATGACTCCTGTATGTCCGTCTATTGTCAGACAACACCGCATGGATCCTAACTCGGAGGAACAGCTACAACAGCCTCCAGAAGAGCATCTACCACGTCCCCGTGGTCATTTCTGATGGGGAGTTCCCCATGCAGAGCAGCACCAACACGCTCACCATCAGGGTGTGCACCTGCGACCGCGAAGGCAACATGAAGCAATGCAACCCCGAGGCACTGACGGCAAGGGCGGGGCTTAGCACTGGAGCCCTGGTGGCCATTTTACTCTGCGTCCTCATTCTGCTCAGTAAGTTCATGAACATGTTTCAGTTTGGTTCAAAACACTAACGCAACAATTTTTCCTGACTGATCCAAAATCTTGTGGCTGTAGCTGAGCATCATTTCAAACACATACTCCGAGTGTAACATCGTGCACAAGTTTATGCTCAAAACTTTGGTAATAACTGTTGGAGTTGTATGTTTGTTAGCAAAATATCTCATTAAGCATTGAATGGATTTTAATGAAACTCTTAAACAGCAACCCTTGGATGTGCCGGTACATCTACACCTGATCAATGTTAAGGGTCAGTCTGCTTTAAGATGGCTGCCAAAACTAATTGACCTTAGTCAACACAACTGTGGCTCTAAAACAACCAACTGTCCAGATATTGAGCTAAAAGTTGGTGTAGTAGTAGCCGAGAGGCATCTGTAACACACGCCCTGAAGGCTAACAGACTGTGTTACTTGGCCAAATTGTGTGAGATTGTGCATAATGCTATTTTCAAGATTTGACCAAACTCTGTTGTTTCTCAACATAAATTGATCTCGCGTCTAAAACTCTGACGTGAAATTAGGAAGAAAATCTGCACTAGGCCTTTAATCTAAACTGAAGTTGAGGCTTTCGCAGGTGTTCGAGACGAGGTTTTATATTTCACTCCTTCATTTGATTAATCTCCTCCGGTGGGTGGATTGTTGTGACAGTATCAACAGCTGGAATCATAATTCAGTTTGAACAGCAAAGACTGACGGCATCTGAACCAACTGAGAGAAAACGCACTTCACTGCAACTTGAAAATCTCCAAAATCCAAAACCAGAACCACAGAAAAACTGAAAACTACCGACTGTTGATAAAAGGAAGACGATGCCGTCATGACTTAAACTGTTCCCAGTCGCAATGCTTTTTATTCAGTGGGAAAATGAGCCAAAAGCACATTTGAAAGAATCTACCATTTTACAGCAGCTCTTTTTAGGTCACATTTTATTCATGGGTTTTCTATGATTTACCATCAGGTTTGATGATCTGCTAACCTTTTCAAAGAATATCAGTAAATAACAAAACCTTCAGCAACCAAATCACTGCAAAGGATCAGTCTGGAGTGTGTCGTGGCCATTTGGCAGTTTCTCAAATGTCATTTCTAGTTTTATGTCACATTAATTTGAAGCTCAAAAAGTCTAGTTAAGACAGCCACTGCTGTCTGTAAACTCATAAGAGAGGCATGAAACCACAAACAGGAAAGGCTTTCATGTAACCTTTAAATTAAAATGTAAAACCAAGCTCTATGTTGGAAGAGTCTATTGTTTTAGGACTGGAGTAAACGTGTGTGTTGATTGGCTGAAAATGTAATTTTTATTCATTAAACGGCATCAGAAGTGATTCCATTCATATTTGTTTCACTATAGATGCCTGATTATTTGTACTATGGGACGTATTCAAACCAGAATAATGTTAAGTACCTATTAGAGATGGATCAATTGAATGGTTGACCAATTATTAGACTAATTGTTGCCATTTTTCTAAATTATTTGGATCAGTCACACGAGCGTACAAAGCTAATTTAAAAGGCAGGCAGATCTATGGCCAGCACGTGACACTACAGTTTTGTTTCAATGCACTTTCACAGCCTTTCATGACAGAGGCATACGATGACCAGAATATTAAACTAAACTTTAAAACTAATAAAAAACTGCATATCTTAATGGAATATCTTAACGGAACCCTAACAAACCCCTATTGTGAGGATTGACAGGGCAATCTGCATATGTATCTAGCTTTATAACTCAAACCCCACACACTGTTCTGTGAACTGAGAAAGCTCCTCGGACGAGAAGCGCAAGGTCTTCTGTTACAAATAAAGTCCAGTTGTTTTTGAATCGTAACGGAATACATGCATCCTCAACGTTGTGAATGATTCTCAAATTCTTATCACACCAGATTTTAGCCCAGTATCTCTAAAACTACCTTAGTTATGGCCATTTTTGAGTTTGCTAAGGTTAAATTGCTTGTGGCGACCTGCTCGCATTAGGGTGTGATTCAGTGGTGTAGTCTACATGCTTGTAGTGGGTATACTGTGCTTAGAAACCAAAGTACTGTGGTACAAAGTAATCGTCAATTTATTTTGATCTTCCCGAAGCACCTCCCTAGGAAGCAGAAGATAATGGATGGATAAATGTTACATAAATACACACACATCCTATTTATTGTTACAAGTTATTTTCTTTTTAGTTCAGATTCCCAAAGTAAATTGGACAAAATGTGAAAGTTCTTTAGGCTTTAAGTGGCACATATAAATATGAATGTTTAAATGAAGTTTTTTTTTAAATAAATAATTTGTGATGTTTAAAAAATAAATTTAATGTAATCTGACCAATAATTGTTGTTTAATAAGGGTTTTGCTGTTTATTGCTCTCAAAACTTCACGCCGGTGGTTTCAAAAGTTACTAACACTTATGACAAAATATAAATATCTGGTCTAAACTTTTATTCTGAAAAGCCCCTCGCCCTTGTTCCGGTGATGCTCTGCGTCACTTCCACTAGCTTCACTGGAGTGGCTCGCGGTGGCACACGCGCCTGGCAACAAACAGACAGTCTCCTCTCCCCCGGCCCCACCCCCGACACCGCTGTTCTCTGAGATCATTTATTTCACACCGACCACTGGCCCCGACGCTTATCTTTCAATATACCAATTACCCAATTACCATATATGTCACGTAACACTGGGCACTTTGAAGTGGGTATACGGAAATTCCCCAGCTTTTCTAGTGGGTATATGGCGTATACCAGCGTATCAAGACTACACCACTGGTGTGATCGACTCCAACAGTTAGTGCCAAAGTTTTTAACAAAGATCTTAGTGATCAGTTTGTGCTCGATGTGTTTGGGATGACTCGCTGCCACTCCTACACCAAATCTTACCTCAACATCTGTACAAATTGACTTTGTTAACGGCATTAGTGCATCTTCTAAAGTTGATTAGCTGTAGCAGCTATGATGAACTGGGTTGAATCCATTCAAAACTGAATCAACTAGATGTATAGTATCTCCAAGGATTACGAACCTTACCCACCTCCCATGGAAAATATCAAACTTTATTCGTATTTTAAAGAGCTGCATTTACTCAGTTAGTCATGAAATGGTATTTATGTGGATAATTCTATAATCTCAGCAACAAGTTCCACAGTAAATTATGAAAATGATTTTAAAATATTGTTTTATTAATAAGCTCCACTGTTGCCAACTTCACTTTGACGATTGCCTTTAGGAGGAACTCCATGAGATTCTGAACCCATTGTCTTCCCCACTACTGACAGAACGATCAAAGTGTTCAACATGTTAAAGTTTTTTTCTTCTAAACATAGCAGACATAATGTGTACCAATATTAAACTTTAACAATCAGATGCCCTGATTATTAAAGAATGCCATTTGTGATTTTCCACAACCCATTTCCTGCTGTTATAGTTTTTCTTTGTTGTAGATGGTTCTTTAGCGTTCCAAAAAAGACGAGAGCAGATGAGTCAGATCCCCTTTGGGATAAATAATGGACGTGACGATCAGAGACTACAACAGTAATATTGTTTATTGAGTGAAGCGTTGGCGTCACAGATTTGAAGATTGGTTTAGAGCCGGGGGTGAGAAACAGCAGCAATTTTTTTCAGTGTCCTGAATCTTGTGATATTCTCTGGAAATGCTCTGACTGGGTTTTAAACCAGCAGCACATCAAATGTATTTAATCAATTAAAGGCCTAGCATTTCTTGAAATAATTTAAATTGCCTGTTGCTTTCCAAAGTTTAAAACTAAGATCTTCTTTTGTTAAGAAATATTGAAGTTAGTGTTTGGGCTAACCTCAAAAATAACATTATGCATACATTCCTGCAATTATGACAGAATTTAGGCCATTTGTCAGTACTTACCATATCATACCATACCACTTTATTTATAAAACACTTAAAACAGCAACAAGGCCATTGTTGAAGTACTTGAACTGCTGGGAATAACACATAGCTACTACTAAAATACATTTTAATTCAATATCTGTAAAACTGACTGAAATATGTATTCTTATTCAGCAACCCAAAGACTTTGTTGCTACAGTCCAAGGTACTCCCACAGTGACCTCATCAATGTGCTCTTGATCTTTGTTGGGCAGCTGTGGCTGAGTGGTTAGAGCAGTCGCCCTCCAAACACGAGTATACCTGGACAAAATCATGGCAGAAATTTATAGCGCAACACCAACGAACCAGATTTAGACACCAGAATGGAAATGTCTGGAACAAGCGTGCAGGTATCTTGGGACGCTGGAGAAAGTTATATCAGGACGTCACCACTCATTTCCAAGCCATTCGCCCCCTTTTAGTTTGGTCCCTCGCGTTGTTTCCAGGCGAGAAAATGAAATGAAAGTCCGTTTTTGATCTTTTTACCATTCTGGTCATGTGACCGGACATTATTTCCAATAATGCAACAAGTTCGGACCATTGCTAAATTGTTTTAACCTACTTAGACTTTTAAAAAGTCAGCGAGAAACTTTGTTTTCGACAGTTATGATTAAGGACAGCAAAGATGGTGCACATACCCCTCTGGCCACCACGCCACAGACACAGTGATGTCACATTCTAAAGCTCTATGGGTGAGTTGGGAGTTCGGCTCCACCAGCAGTCACATGCTGAAGTGTCCCTGGGCAAGACACTGAACCCCTCATTGTCTATGATGCGTGTCCCATCGGTGTATGAATGTGATCTAAAGCACTGATAAGTTGTTGTAGAGATCTAGTAGAGTGCTGCGTGAATGGGTAAATGAGGACAGATTGTGTTGTAAAGCACTTTGAGTATCTTGATAAGATAGAAAGGAGCTATGTAAGTACAGTTCGTTTACCATTTACCATTTGATTTGGGCTGCTTAAGTAAAGCATGATTGATTTAATGTTTGACTAAATTCAAAGAGGTTAAACCAGCTGCACATCATCAAACGTCATTGTGGTAGTAGCAAACAATGCGCTGGGTCCATTGTTCTGTAGCAGCGGTGGCCCAGTGCCTGCAGAAATGCATAATGCATCTTTCTGCTCTCAAATTCAGTTCTTTAAAGAGCCTGAAAATCAGTGAACACTCATGCAACATCAACAGTTCTTCCTGGATGGTCACTGGCCTTCACAACAAGGAGATCAAGCAAAGAAACACCAGCAGAAGTCTCCAAAGTCTCTTATTTGTTCTCTTTGTCTTTGTTCTTTCTGCAGTGATTGTGGTGCTGTTTGCTGCCCTGAGGAGGCAGAGGAAGAAGGAGCCTCTGATCATCTCCAAAGAGGATGTCAGGGACAATGTTGTCAGCTACAACGACGAGGGGGGAGGAGAGGAGGACACCCAGGCCTTTGATATCGGCACGCTGCGCAACCCGGAGGCCATCGAGGAGAGCAAACAGAGGAGGGACATCATCCCTGAGACGTTCTACCCTCCGGTGAGACGGCCTGTGTTGCCCCCGAGCCGGGACAATAACGGGGACGTGAGAGACTTTATCAACCAGAAGCTCCAAGATAACGACAGCGACCCAACGGCGCCGCCTTACGATTCCTTGGCGACCTACGCTTATGAGGGAAATGGCTCCGTAGCCGAGTCCCTCAGCTCGCTGGAGTCGGTGACCACCGAGGGGGACCAGGACTACAACTACCTGAGCGAGTGGGGGCCACGCTTTAAGAAACTGGCGGACATGTACGGTGGGGATGAGAGCGACAGGGATTCCTAACGACCCTGGCACAGAGACAAGGAGATAAAACATGACGTTAAACTTTCCCGTCGGCCGTTCCGACGGAAACGTGGCGTGTTTGAGAAGAGACGAGCACCGTTGGCGCTCCTTCACCGCTGTCGCCTTTCAGTTGTCCCTCCGGTGACCAGATGTAGGCTTTGTGTGTCCAGTCAGTGTTAGTTGCGTTTTTGCAGGGACGCAGAAAAAACTTTTTTCTTTTTTTTTTCGTGTGTGTTTTTGGGGGATCAAAATAAAGCCAAAATATATCTAAACTATTTTTTTGATTTGTTTTTCCAAAGCTGCCTGTGACGGACCCTCTACATGCAGTTTTGTAAACCAACAGATATGCCGATGTATTTTTCAGTGTTTCTGGGACAAAAACATGCTGCATATTAAGAGTTCTATCTTAGCTTGTGTATGTACGGTAATATGAAACAATACGCTGTACAGTTATTTTTTTTGTTCCGTTTCGTTCTCCCAAGGGATTTCTATCTTTAAAACAATCCCTACTCCTCAGTGACGTTTGCCTCACTCACGGTAACCACTTTTCAACAGTAAAGCTTGAGCTCAAATGGATTTTGAGGCAACTTTGTGTTATTCTGCTAATGTTCTTTAAAAGGACTGTGAGATTTGCAGCCAGAAAAAAAAAACACTCAAACACAGTTTTTCTTTGTTTAACTGGTATATTCATACAGCTCTGAGCATTTGCTGTGAGGTGCGCTGAAATACCAAATACTTCCCTGCTGTGGTGAATGTTGCCAGAACCACTTTTTTCGTTGGACACTGAAAAATGAGGTGCGCATCTTATTGTTTTTAATTTTAACGACTGACAGCTCTGATAAGGAAAATACTGGTTTTGTTGAACTTGTTCTTTTTTTTAATGAAATATAAATAAATGTGAAAATTTTAATCTCCACTGGGTCCCAATACTGAATAAAACCAGATTCATCTCTCCTACGGTTAGCTACTATCCAAACTTAGACAATTCTTTGTTTATTTCTCTAAATTGTTCATTTCACTTTTAGTTTTATTAAAGTGATTCCATGTTTCAAGCACGGATTGAGTTGCTGATTGGACGTCCTGGACTTTGGGATCAGAATATTTTCAAGTGGAAGAAAATAAGTCTAAATGTATCACATGGGGTTCAGTACATTAAAAAGCAATTAGACATAATGGTTTTTCTTACCGTTAAGAGAAAATCTACATGGTGTCCTGAAAGTGGCTAAGACCTGCCCTGAAGAATGTCTAATGAAGAAACAGCTGGGTAACAGAAATGTGCCAAAAAGCAAAGAACACCAGTATTTTCCTTTTTAAAGGCCTCTGATTGTTGCAGTCCGTTCCCTTCTTCTCATTACATGCACTGTATTCTATGTCGAAGCCAAACCAAATGTTCAGGCTTTACCCAGCTGATTTCCTGTGGGACCGTCAGCCTCTTCCATAAAGATGTTTATCGAGGGGCACCTGACCTTTGAGCTGAGCCGTATTAGGCTTTTAAACCCAGAAGATTGTCCTCCGCTTGGAGAGAAGGTCAGTGCATTGACAAGCACACGTGGGTTTTGGCTTAAATGTGACTTAGAAAACAAAAGAAAATGATCCTTAAGCAGCAGTATTTTCAAATTGGTTTAAGACCTCCTAAATTTGTGTAAAAAGCTTTCAGAAGCAAGGAGGTTGAACGGAAAGAGCAAAGTGATATCAACAGAAAAAACACGGCAGCTACATGCTCTGCCCTCACTTTAACAAAAGGCCAACGTGTGAAGAGGCTGACATTTGTCAGACATTTGGAACAGAAATAACACAACACAATGGCATAATTGCCGCTGTGCTACTTTCTTCTCTCCATCAGTAATGGTGCAGACCATTAAACAAGCCGCCTGATTATAGAGTAGCCGGACAACTCTATGAGCAGCTATTGTATACATGTGTTCTCTTGTTTTGTTTATTAGCTTGCTGCTAGAGCTCCTATTGTGCGAGTAGCCATTTCAGACTGCTGCAGCGTTGCTATGATAAGCATTTAATGGGCTCAGAAAATCTTTACTAGAAAGCTGCATATCTGCCTCAAGGTACAACATGTGTGGCAAAACAAAAGGAACAAAACTACGAATACTGAACACTCCCGAGGCTAGATACCAACAATAAACTACATATCTGCCCAAATCAGATACGTCTCAGGTTCAAGATTGAGCAGCTTCAATAACTGAGTGACTAGCCGATGACACGGTGAATAATCCTTTAACTAAGAGGTTGTTGTGTATTTAAATTTAAGCCAAAATCTCACTGGACTGCCACTGTTGGAAGACAAGTTGGTGAACAGCATAAGCAGCAAAGTCTCCAATATACCCTCAAAACGATATTCCAATTTGGATTTTTTTATTTATTTTTTTGGACATTCCAGTTCATTTCTCAGCAGGAAACTTGGGAGCTCACACTTCTAGGTTTGCGCTGAATGATAGAATGCACTATGAGGTACCCAAATAAGGCAGCCTCAAACCTACAAAGTATTCATACTTGTAGAAATAAACTTATCTATCATTTATTTTGGTTTGTGAGCAAAGTATCACCTAAACTATATGGACAATTTACACATTACATCATCCCGTGTCACTAATATTGTGTAATCATTTACTGCCTTCAATGGTATTAGCAAAGCGATCCTGATGACTAGCATATCTAGCACATCAGCGTCAAAATGCTACCGATTAGCTCACATTTCAAGACCGATAACCTAATAAATCATTTGATTTAGCGACTAGGACTTTAGAGCTAATCGTGAGGAATGTGAGAACTGTTCAGTGAGTGGCTGTTTCATATTGATTTCCTGTTCAGGTGGAAGGAATGGCTGTCTTGCCAGAAGTGACCAATAATCACCCAGTTATCAGCAACGTTAGCCATGTTGGTGGCTAACAAAATTAGCGGGATTTGCTTATTATAGTGTTTGGCAAAATAAGGTGATGGCAAAGAATTAATCTGCATTTATGCAATCTGCACTGTAACATGTTACAGTATTGTTGGTATGTCAAACTTGTGCAGGTATTTCTACATTTTGTGTGAGGCAAGCTGGTTGGATTTCAAGGTCGGGGCTGGTGAGGCACTTTTAAATTTCCAAGCCAGAATTGTAACTTTAGGGGGCATTTCCTTTCAAGTACAAATGGAAAACACCAGTACCTTTGGCCAACTGCTCCACTGTCCTAAATGTGTCTGTTTTGCTGTGCCGTGTGAGGGCTCTAATTGAAATCAACACGTTTTCTTCTTGAGTGTTGGCATTCTACTGTTTTTACATGGGCTGTGATCATATCGTCATTATTTAAAACTGTGTTCGATAAGGGGTGCGACTGCCTCCAACAAGGTTGCCATTCACCATTTTTCTTTTTTCTGTGCGCGAGTCTGTTAAGGGAACTCGAAGAAGCTGCAGTCTCCTCGCTCCAGATACAGTAGATCTGTGATTGTTGATGTGCAGGTCGGTCTTGGGGCTCGAGCCTCTGCTGTGCTATATGTCGGTGGCAACGTGGTTGAGTAGTTTTATTGATGTAGAAACAATTGGAGAGATATAGTGGTAGTCTAAGGAGCCCAACATCACTGGCCATTCATCACTCTGCTTTGTAAACCGTGATATTTTGTACTGAATATTTATATGACACAATTAAACATGTTTAAAATCAGCCGGTCTTTGCGAAGTCTTCTTCCAAACTAACAGACAGCCCTGGAGGCCCTCGTTTCCTCAGAGTTGAGAATGAAACTTTAATTTGAAACGTGACGGCAGCCACAGGCTAACACGCTCTTCACCCTCACAGGTATGTATATATTATCTACAATGAATCTCAATATAGAAGACTCAACTCTATGACAGATAGTTATTAATATGTCTGCTGTTGTTAAATAGCTGGATCCAGAGGCTACAGAGCTGAGGAAATTATTAATTAGACAATCTATAATTAAGATCTGTTAGACAGCCAATTGTGTTTTAGCGAGAGGGTAACAGGAACGGAGGGGGAAGAGGAAAAAAACACGATATTTTGATTATTAAAAAGTGAGTGGCAGATGCAAGACAGATGGCGACGCTGTTATGACGGAGTATAATTGACTCGACCCTTTTTAGGGGTTTAGGCTTCTTATCAGAAGGGTGACAATTATTACCATGAAAGCAAATAAAAGCAAACTAATTAACAACTAGTTAGAGTAAAATCAAAGTTTATTTAACACTTTATGTTCCACTTATTTAAAAAAAAAAAGTGCCTTTTTGTGATTTTGTAGCACTGTGACGTCCTCTAGATTTATTATCAGCCATTTGTCACTATTACAAAGTAAAAACAACAACTGCACCAACAACTCTTTCTGTTATCTGACTGTTTTGTTCCATACTGGTCATTGATCCTCATCTCAAACTTGTGTGAAAAAGGCAACATTTAATTTTAATCCATCTCCATCTCCACCTCCCTGTCAGTCTGTCGCGGCTCTTCTTTGCCTGAGCTTCTGCAACTAGCCGCTCCCGGTGGGTCCAGGTGCCGTCACTTCCTGCCCTCCTCCACCTCGTCGGTGTCCTTCTCCTGCCGCTCGCGCTCCCGTCTCATCTCCTTCAGCTCCTGCCTGTATTTCCGCTCGATGAAGCGCTTCTGATGAGCCATCTGTGGGAAGTTATCTGGAGAGGGGAAAGGGCAGAGTGGGAAACGGAGAAGTCAACCAACAAGAACAGATAAAGAGGAAGAGCACATAACGAGGAGAGGTCAGTTTCCAACTGGGCGAGGACGGCAATTTAGGCCTGGGATAGCGGCGATGATAGCTTTCAAAGCAGGTGTCGTGCTGTTACCTTGGTCAAATGAGGTAAAATGTTGTGATTAAATTGCCCACATGTTGTTATTTCATTAATAAAGACGAAGTAACAAAACATTAATGGGGACTTGTTTGGTTTCAGCCCAACGACTATGAGATCTGATAGCACAATTACAAGTAAACACTTTAAATGAGATCTGTAGAAAAGATATGCGACACTAAAAACAATCTGCTTACAGGTTGTTTGAGGCAGAGAAATCAAAGAACCTGCTCGTTTCTGCGGCGTTAACGTTCAGAAGTTAAATGCACCGTCTTGCATTGATTTTACACCAATGACTGCTCATTTTCAGACCTTCTTTCCAAGCTGACAAATGTTTCTACTTGGCTTTCAGACGCAGAAAAACAAGGGCACAGTTTTGGCTACACCAGCCATTAGTTTCCAAAGAAAAGTTCTGAAAGCCTCAATTTGGGTTTGCTGCTGGCTGCCAACTTGGCTGTGGTCGTTTCCAAATCTTATCAACTCATTATAAATCTGCGAGAAATGACAAATGGAAAGCACAAAAAAAAAAAAAAAACACTCCAGGTTACAACCAGTGTGAAGCATAGAAACACCTTCTGAACCACGTTGAAGAGTTTTTATTGAAACAAAACTTGTCACTGGTTCTCATTAGGTGCAGTGAAATGTGGGGGTGGCATTCTCAAGAGGATGTGCTAAAGGGCTAACTGCAGCATTAATAATTATTAGAAGAAGAAAAAACACACAGATCGAGGAAAAACAGAATATGAAGCATGAAAAAAGTCACGGTCAGGCAGGTGAAGAGACTTCGCCGCTCGCTGTCCTGTGAAAAGCACACGTCTCCAAAATGTCACATTTTAATGAACAGAAGCAACAGCCCTGCTTTTTCAAGCTTTGCATTTTTCAGATGGTTCAGAAGCTTTTCAGAAGGTCTTAATAATGCTGGATAACACTGAAAAACACTCACTAAGCTGCAGTAAAGTGGCAGCTGGCATCTTAAACCAGCTTGTTCTGTCTCATCAAGAGTCACAAAGTGAGATGAATTCAAATCATCTCGACTCGACGCTTAATTAGAAAACAAACTGCGGCAACATATTGAGGGTTAGAGCTGATAAATGTATAATATTGTCTAATTTTGAATGGGGGAAGCAAAGTAGGGGACCATTAATTTGATTTATCTAAATAGAAGTCACAGACATAATTGAGCAAAACAAAAAAAGAAGAGTGCCGTGCTCAAACGAGAAAGCCGATAGAGATTTCATCATGTTTGGTTTTGAGTGATTAAAAGAAAGCATTAAATGTATCAACAGAGGGTCAGAAACACAGTCTGTCCAGGAAATCTTTGCACTGGCTTGAGAACATGATCAAACCCGTCAGCGCAGCGGTCTCTACAAGGTGGAAGTAACATTCAGAGCTTCGTTTAGGGAGGCGATGTACGGTGGCCCCTAAGGTGCAAATGAAAAACATTACAAAAAAATGGAATCACATTAGAAAAAAATGAATTTATATAATTTTTGAATGATTCAGTTTTTTCTAATGTTGTTCATTTACACCTCAGGGCCACCGTAGCTTTGACACCGAGCAAACACTTTCAAAACATCCCAATGTCAAATTCTTTTGTCTTTTGGTTCGGCATCGTCACTCAGCATTTTTCTGCCGTTTCTCTGTGAAACAGTCTTTTGATTTGCATTTCATTAGAGAAAAGACAATTTATTTTAATTTGTCACCTTCAATGCCTCCAAACACCTCTTTAAAAACATTTATAAACATACCTGGTATTTTTAGCCTATAAAGGCATTAAGATGGACGGTGGTGTAGTTGAAAACCATCCTGAAGTATACGTTTAATTTTTTACATTTTATTTGGAAATTCTGGAAGCAGAAACATCCGGGAAATAATGAAAAGATTAGATAACAGGAAGCATATCAGCACTCCGTTCAAAACTGGACACAAGGAGCAGTGTGGAGGTGCATTAGTGGGTTATTTGCACGTGTGAAGGCACCATTAATCCTGAACGATACACTCCTGGTTTTACAGCAACATAATCTTGTAATGGGTCTTTCTCAGCGCACTTATTGGCGTTAAGCCTTCAAATGCAACTCTTCATGCTTTACAGCCAAATGTATTTAAATAGTGCAGGTACTAAAGTGAGTGAACTAATTTTACACTTAAAACAGTTTTAGCTTTATGACAAAAGAACACTGACAATATAATAAAACTAATAAAACTGATGTCATGTCTGTGCATCAATTGATAAATTCTTTTGGATGCAAATATCAATTGGGCTCAATATAATTTCAATGATTCCTCTAAAATATAAGTTTTGAGCATCCTGTTGGGCCCTTAATTCTAAGTTACAAATGGAGGGGGTTCAAAAAGTTCCCTACACAATGGGACAGCCTTCAACAAAGTTGGTGCGTCAACAGATGTTGCTCAATTGCAACAGGTTTGAACTGAATTTACATGTATTTTCAAAATCGTCCCCAATTTGTGGGCTAGCATCCGTGTTGTCTGAGGCCAAAGAGAACAGGTAGAGAACTAAGATCTCCTGGGGCCAACTGTGGTGAGAGCAGTCGTCCTCCAATGGGAGAGTTGGGGGCTCGATTCCACCAGCAGTCACATGTCAAAGTGTCCTTGGGCAAGACACTGAACCCCTCATTGTGTGTCCCATTGGTGTACGAATGTGATCTAAAGCACCGATTTGTCTCTAGATTCAGATTAGCTTTGTAAAGATGTATAGATAGAAAGACGCTATACAAGTACCACCTATTTACCACGTACACATATAGAAAGGCTAGTGGATCAGTTTACACATAAAAAAGGCTGCATACAAATATTGGTCCAGTTAGCCACATGCTACCCAGTTTATATAGCTCAAAAATGCCAGTTTGCGTGTGAGATGCTAAGTATTAATTAGCAGGTAGACTGACAGTAAATGCAAATTCTAGAGGGTTTGCTAAGAAGATCGATCAATCCATCCATCTTTTCAGGACGAGGGGGTCACTGGTGCCCACATCCAGCAGTCAATGTGTGAGAGGCGGGGGACACCCTGGACAGGTCTCCAGTCCATCACAGGGACACGTGGAGACAAACAAGACAAACAACCAACCACTCTCTCTCTCCTAGAGACAATTTAGAGTTACCAGTCAGTCTAACATGCATGTTTTTGATCTGTGGGAGGAAACTGGAGTACCTGGAGAAAACCCACACACACACGGAGAGAACATGTAAACTCCACCCAGAAAGGCCCCTGGCCGGCATTCAATCCAGCGACCTTCTCACTGAGAGGCAACAGCTCTACCAACTGTTCCACCGTGCTAATAAATAAAATAAAGTATTTATTTGAAACTTTTAGGTGTTTAAAGAGTAAAGGCTTGTTTGGCAACTATTTATTTAGTATCACCGTCGATCAACAGCCTCCACTGTTTGACAGAAGAAAAAAAAAATGTTCATAAATATGAATTGAATAAATGTCGTCACATACTGGCCGGAAGTTGTACGCAGACATTTACTGAATCCACTGAGGAATGGGTTTTTTCACACATGTTTTTATTAAGCTTCTGTGTTTTGCTATTGTAACTGTCAAAGATGAGATAAAAGAGCAGTAAACTATAACTGGGTTATTATACAGCACGCTAACTCGCACCCTTCAAGGTGAGTAAAGCAGTAGATTGAGAATTGTTGAACAAAAAGCATTTTACAAGCTAATCGCTAGTAGCATGCATGATAAGTGTTTTTATCTGCTGTGGGTTTACTCAACACTTTGAGGTATTCACTTAAAACAATCGGTTTAAAAGAGTGACATGTCTCTGCCACTTTATCCACCCCCCACACCATTACAAAGAATCCAGTGGGACTGGGTGTTTGAGTCTAGGCTCATGTGTTTATAATGGAAGAAAGAACTGATGAATCTCACACAAACAGAAAGCGTAAATGTTTAAAAGATGTTGAAACGTGTGTGAAATGTGCCTTCCATTAAACACCAACTTGTTTTAGTTTGGACTGTGCAGAAGCAGCTCCGTTAGTAGTTTTCAGGTAATTTCCCTCCGAGTGTTTCCATGACTGTGCTCACACGGAGCACGGCCTAATCTGAGACGGCACGCATGACAGCTGCCCCGTGCTTTGAGTCCATTCACTGACTCACATTTGACTGTGCAGTTCCCCAGTCACAAACCATGACCATTCAAACTAAGTGCAAATAAAGAGTCCTAATGCCCTTCACTAACAACTTTGTGTGACTGTGTACGTATGTGTGTGTGTGTGTGTGTGTGTGTGTGTGTGTGTGTGTGTGTGTGATGGGAAAATTAAAGAGTTATCTGTATCAACAATACAAGAACAGAAATAAAAATGTTGTTGAAAACAGGAGATAAAAACTGAAGAGCACAACATACTGACATGAATATATACATTATTTTCTTCATGGATTGAAATGCAGGATCTTTTTACCTTGTCTTTACATTGTGTGATGACCAAACGCTTCTGCAGCTTACCGCTCAGGAATCTTTTCAGTACAACTTATGGTTTCTGCACAGAGACTGTGTGTGAAGTTTAACTCCTGCTCTGCATTTCTGTCTCCCTGTCTTTGTGGGAGTTCCTGTTTTTCCTGCTGCTCTGAAGACATTAGATCATGGCATCTTTTCCACACCTGAAGATAATCTTAACGAGACACCAGCAGTGTTCCCTCAGTGAGGACTGAACTGGGCAAAACGGCCTTCTCCTACTCTGCTCCTGTTTCCTGGAATATCTTGCAAAAAGATCTGAAGCTCTCGACCTTAATGTCTCTAAGTGGCTTCAAACATCTGTTAAGTTTATGGGAAAACCCAATGCAGACATGTTCCTGTTTTTAGTTTTCA